TGGGCAATCCTTCTCCTCACAATTTCCAGCCTGAGAAAGCCACTGGAGAGTCAGCTATGAATTGGTACTGACTCACAAGAATTTGTGTTTTTGATACACATTACCTGTCCTTGGGGACAGAAATGTCACCTGAAACACAGGCTTGAGAGTTCTTGGTCCAAGGAAACTCCAGGCACAAGGAGATGAGCGGAGTGTGTGAGGGGCTGGCTGGGGTGATCAGGAGTTTCCCAGGGGCACAGCCACACCGGGCGTGGGCCAGAGCTCACCAGAAGGTCTCGTTGTCCAGGCCCTCGTCCGTCAGGTAATTGTTCTGCAGGTACAGCTCTCGCAGGTTGCTCAGCTCACTGAAGGCACCTGGTGGGATCTTCTCCAGTTTGTTGTTCTGTGAGAGGGAGGGAGGGAGGGAGCTTGAGGGAAAGGTGGGCAGGGCAGGCCTTGGGAGGAGGAGCCGGGAGGAGTCCAGCAGGTGAGGAGGGTGCTCAGGCCTGGAATATGCCAGGTGTGCTGTTGAGGGCCCCACACAATCCCCGCTGAAAGCCAGGTGCCCAGGCCTTGGATGCTGCCCTCCAGTGAGCCTGGGACCCTCTCCCACTGCAGGTCCCTGGCTGTAGGGTCTTTTCTGTCCCCTCCCCACCTTGAGGTGCAGCTTGTAGAGGGCAGGTGGCAGGTGTTTGGGCACATGACGCAGGAAGTTGCTGGACAGGATGAGGATCTCGACATTGCTGGAGCCGTTGAACATGTTGTCTGGCAGCCCGGCATCGGCCAGCTTGTTGTTGTGCAGGTACACGGACCTGCAGAGAGGTGCCAGCTCTCACCCACCCTGGGAGCTCCAGACCCTGGCACAGGCAGATCTGGGGCTCAGGGGTGCCCTCCCAGCCCTGATAAGTCCACAGGACAGAGTTAGAAGAGCCTTGGACTTCTCCCCCAGCAAAGCAGAAGGGACCAAGGACCAGAAGGGACAGAGAATCCCAGCAAGTCAATGGCAGAAACGGAATCCCACACCTCAGTTCTCTCTCCTGCTCTTTCCCAGGCTCAGAGCCCTTGCCTCCTTCTCAGTATCACGTTCTCGCCTTCAAAGCCCACTCAGCCTGGCTCCAAGTTTTGTGGGAATTCATAAAGACACGGTCTGTCCCTACTCCCCTCTGTGTCCAGCACAGAACCTGGGGCAGAGGGGTGGCCCTTCAATCATAACAAACATAAAATGAGTGCCACTGTATGTGTGACAGAGTGTTCTAGAATCTGAGGATAGTGGTGAACACAACCTATAAGACTCCTGCTGCCCTGGAGCTGACCCACTAAAGGAAGAGAAGACAAGGGACAAGACAAATACAAAGATGCTGCTCTGTCTTGCTCTGTGGTCCCTCTAGCCTCAGCCTTCTTATCTTTGGGGCGAGGACACACACAGTGACGCTGGCTCCTCAGGGAGGGAGAGAGTAGTGGGAGATGACCAGATGCAGGGACAGAGCAGCACCAGATTGTACAGGTCAACTTCCTTCCAGAAGAAAGACCCTCCAACAGCCCCCCACTCCAGGATGAATGGTCCTGCCAGGCCTTCCTTCCCCCAAAGGGAGGAAAAAGAGGGAAACTCCATGGCCCAGCACCCCATAATTTCTGCAGGTACCCTCCTCTGTTGCCACCTCCTGTACTGACTCCTCACAGCTCAGCCAGCACCTCCTCGGGGAGCCCTCTGGGTTTCCCTCCCCCACAGCCTGGAGCCTGGACATGCCTCCCACTATGCAGAAGGCCCCTCCACTGGAGCTAGGGTGGGGGGTCCTCTTCTGGCCTAACACAGGACAAGCAGTGTCTACCATGGCACATCCCCCAAGCTCAGCCCAGGGCCACCCCTTTTGACCTCTGACCTCAAGTTTGGCTTCTGGCCAAAGGTGAGCCCGTAGATCTTGGTGAGATAGTTGGCAGCAAAGTCCACACTAACCAGCGTGTTTGGCAGGAACCGGGGTGCCAAGGTCAGCTGGGAAGAGAAAGAGGGAGATGACTGACTGGCTCAAGGTCCCGAGGACTGCTGAATTGTTCTCTTGGGCCCTTCAACTCATTTCCTCCCCATGCCCAGGGTCACCTTTCTAAAATTTAAAACTTTCTCCCTCCCAACATAAAACAGAACAAACCTGATGGCTCCCACAGTCCTTGGCTTGGCATTCAAACCCTCCAGCACCTGTCCTATGCCCTGTCTTGTCCTCTTGGTCTCTCCCTCCACTGCTCCCCAGCACTGGTCCTCCAACTAGTCACAGTGAGCTACTCAAGCACTGCACAGGGTCTGCCTGTCATCTGTTCCACAGAGGCCTCTGATTGCTACAACATTCCAGACATACTCCAGGTACTTCGAACAACCTGGAGGACTTGACAGAGAATTTCTGCCCCCTCAGAGCTTCCAACTTCGTTGTTGTTTTTGTGTACTGTTGAGTCAGAACAGTCTCCTAGCCAACCTCCCATGGTTTTCCAGAGGCTCAGTATCACACAGGAGGAGACTGTCCATCTTTCCCCTGCAGAGCAACTGGTGGACTTGAACCGCACGCCTTTGAGTTGGCAGCATACTTCCTTACCATTAAGCCACCAGAGCTCCCTTACATGTTGGTAGAAATGATAATACATAAAGAATACAAAGATCTGGCAGTGAAAATTGCTGTGCAGTGAATATAAATGGCCTTACCCCAAGCTGGGGGCCCAGGGGGGTGACATTTAAGGCATCATGGCACCATAAATGCCAGGAAGGAGACATTAATAGAGATCATTGAGAAGAGTACCCAAGGTAGCAGAAGCACGTGTACTGTTCCCCAGAGTAGGCAAATTTAGGGTGTCTGTTGGCTGAAGCAGAGAGGCCAAGAGGGAGTAAAGAAGAGTTAAGAGAGTCATGCTGTGGAGCAATGATTTTGTAAATCACTACCTACCTTGAGAGGGACTGGAGAGCATTATGCTGAATGAACTAACTCAGACCCATAAGAGCAAATACTGCATACGACCATTATTGTAGATTAAGTATGAAGATCCAAGGAGGAAGTGGGGAGCAGAGGGGTGAGGATTGGCAGTGGTGGGATGGGGTAGGGGGTTTAATCATAGTTGCACAATTTGATGGGTGGAGGGAAGGGTGGGTAAAGGAAAAGATCTGGTGTGAAATAACAATGTATATAAGCTTTTTAAGTAAACCAGTATAAAATAAAAATTTTATTATTTTTAAAAAAACAAAAGTAATGTGGGCCCAAATCCCACACGACCTCACGGGCCAGGAATGGAAATGTGGATTTCATTCTGAGCAGCAGGGGAAGCCACTGATAACCTAAAGTCCCTGGGAGGTGCAAATGGATAATGCTTTCAGCTGCTAACCAAAAGGTCGACAGTTCAAATCCACCCAAACGCTCCTCAAAAAAGGTGTGATGACATACAGAAAACCCTTTGGATCACAGCTCTGCTTTGACACAGACAGGGTCATTATAAGTTGGAATCAACTCTGCAATGACTTATCACACCCAGGACAGGAGGAGGGGACTGCTATGGGCCTGGAGGCCTAGAAAGCATAGAATCCAGGCACTCCAAGATTTGTCCTTGGACCAGTGGTGCTGCAGGTGATTGGAGACATTGCTTACACAAATGGGGAGACTGCACAAGCTTGAGACCAGGCTGTGGTGAGAATCAATAGTTTCAGTTCTATTAGACTCCTCAGGAGGGTCGCTGAGCCAATGGCGGGTCTCTGATCTAATGGTGAGTTTCTGATCTAATGCCCTGAGTGGGAAGGGCTGAGGTTGACATATGGACAGGGTCATGATGTGAAAATGGGAGTTTAAACCCAGGAAGCCCCAAGTGGCTGTAGACCAAGCCAGAGGAAGTAGAAGGCACAGGAGAGCCTGAGGCACGCCAGAGACTTTGAGGTTGAGTGCCACGTGCCTTCACTCATGCCTTGCCCTCTGCTTATGCCACTGGCAGAAATGCTGTCACTCTCCATGGACTTGCTGAATATGACCATCTCCTCCAGAAAGCCCTCCCAATGCTCCCTCCTCATGAAGATGAGCCCTCTCTCCCCTATGCTCTGGTAGGTTTGCGTTCTGTCGTATTATCTGATCACACACTATCTTGGGCAGGTGAAGGGTCTTGTCCCCACAGGACCACGTCTGAGCAGCAGTGGGGACCCAATGGCCAACCCAGAAGAGGTCCTGGTGAACGGTCACTGAACCCAGCTAAAGAGGACAGGACAGGACAGGTCAGGATCCTCACCCTGCTTGAGGCCCTCACCTTGTTATTGGCCAGGTACAGGTAATTGAGGTTGGTCAGGTGCTCAAATGCCTCCTCCGGGAGCCCTTCAAAGGACAGGCAGCAGTCAGAGCCCTGGATGAAGGAGACGCTACAGGGGAGCACGCGGGGCACACGCAGCCACGCTTACCTCCCCCCAGGCCTGGGCCGAACTCTCCCCGCCAGTGCCGCCCACTCAGTCCCAATGGCCAGCCCAGCCAATTCCCTTTCCCTCTTTCCTTGCAGGCCCAAGCTCAGAGGCAGTGTTTGCTGAGCGATTGCCTGATCCTCCACCCTTCTCTGGGGCAGCCAAGTGGGGCTACATCCCAGGAAGGCCAGGGCACAGGGGAGAGGACCCGCTGACCCTTGTCTGCCAGGAAGAAGCACTCCACTCTGGAGGACCAGTGTCCCCTCACAGCCCTATGGGCACGGGGTGCTGAGCTTCTGGCCCCGAGCCTCCTAGACACCTGGCATGTCCCTGTCCCTCCCCGCAGATGTCCTGTCAGGACCCAGCTGTGGCCAGGAGCTTGGCCAGGAGGCCCTCCGCCAGTCTGGAGGTCAGCCTCTGACACTCAGTTCCTGGCTCCAAGACCCTCAAGATGTTGGGCCTCACTCAAGAATCCAACAAGAGGGAACAGTTATATAAACCGTGGAGCATCCTCTCCATGGAATACCCCGCTGCCCCCAGTAAACTGACAGCAATGCTGCATTTTCAGTACTGCGCCTTTTCAGCTGTGTGAGGAATGCCACTGGCATTGCAGGTAAGCGATACAAATGCGCCCACGGTCTGAACGCCGCTGTGCATTTTAAAGCACAAAGCAAAGGAGACTGGACTGTGTTACAGTGGTGGCTATTAAAAAACTCACAGCTGGAGAGTTGATTCAAACTCGTGGCAACCCTAGAGGACAGAGCAGAACTGCCCCCAGAGGTTTCTGAGGCTATAAATCATTCCGGGAGAAGACTGCCCTCACCTTTCTCCCGAGGAGCAGCTGGCTGGTTCAAGTCACCAAGCTGTAGCCTACAGCACCACTAGGGCTTCTTGACAAACTAAAATTGAACCTTAACATCCTATTTCACCATCTATAAATACTTCAATAAGTCTGTATTGAGTTCTGGTGGCCTCATGGCAAGAAACTATGATACAATCCCGAAGGAACATGGTTCAAGGCCACCAGCCGCTCTGTAAGAGAAGGATGGACAATCTCCTCTGGGTGATTAACTAACGGCCTCTGAAAACCCACCAGAGGGTCAGCTATGGGTCTGATCCAATTCTACTACAGTACACAACAACAACAACAACCAGGCTCTTTAAAAAAAAAAGGAGACCAAGGTTATGTCAACAGTAATTAACTCCATGTGGCAGAATTATGAGTGGATTTTTTTTCCTTTCCATTTTCTTTTTTACAATTTTAGATTTTCTATATTATTTATATTATTCTTATCAGAAAAATATAAGGAACAAAAAATTCCAAGAGTCTGCAATACTTTCGTGTCAAAAGCCTTCTTTGTGCTGAAGTTTCTCTGATAAAGATCTTGGGGTCATAGCTGCCCTGAGGCCCCCTCTCCTGACAGAGTCTCAAGCTCAGGCCTGGGTCTGCAGAGGCAGAAAAACCAGTAGGGGCTGGTCTGTGGCAACTGGGAGCCCATTGCTGTGTGGAGCTGGCCCTGCCTGGATCCCACCAGCCCAGCCTGGGCTTGTCATTTCCCACACCACCCTCAGGAGCTAAACAGCCCCTCCAACTGGGGGTCTCTGATCCACCAGGCCCCGGGTCCCTCATTTGGTGTTCCGGCCCCCCAGGCTCTGAGGGCCCCTCACCTCGGGAAGTCAGTCGGTTATTCTGGAGGTTCAGGGTCTCCAGCAGGTGCAGCCGGGAGAGCTCCTCAGGATAGATCTTCTCCAACTGGTTATTCTACGGGTGAGTGAAGAGGCTGCATTTGACTGAGGGGTGCCCAGGGGTCCTTCCCTGAAAGGCCTGCCCCCCATCCTTAGGCCAAAGTCCTAACAGTCAGATCCTCTGCTGGGCAACCCTGTAGGATACCTCTCATAGCAGACAGACCTTGGGTACTGGGGGACCAGCAGTGACCATCAGACTTGTGGACATGTCAACTTGTCTCCAAGGAGCCCACCCATGGCTGTCCAAACTTGGTGTGTCCATAGCTGACCCCACGGCTCCCCTCCAGACATATTTCCTGCTGCACTGCCGCTTGTTGACCACTCTGCCCAGATCGTCCTTCATGTCCAAGCCAGAAATCATTCTGGTTCCCCTCCTCGGGCCTGCTATCTCCACTATCTGGAAATCTTTATAAGCCGGACCAGGCATCGCCCCCTCCAGAATCCTTCCTCAGCTGTATTAAGGCTGAATTAGAAGCCTGCTCTGGGCTCATAGCCTCTTTTGCTTCCTCGGATCACCTCTAGATCACTCTGTTTAGGTCTCTGTTCCCTCACAGGCCATGAAGTCGTCAAGGGCAAGGTGTGTCCAAGCACTAACCCCCATCCCAGCACCTCTCACAGGACCAGAGCACAGAAGAGGTACCAGGAAGTTTTTATGAATGAATGAACAACAGTGAATGCTGCCTTCAGCGAGCCCCTTTCCCTCAATGACTGCACTAGTCTTAGCTTCCACCACTACCAACCCCAACCTACCAATGCTGTGTAACCGAAGAGGGTCACCGCGCCTGCTTCTCCTCGAGAAATCGGTGTGACTCTGCCTCAACCCCTGCACTGCTCACCCTTGCCTATTCCAGCTCCCATCATCTCCCACCTCTCAAATCTTGCCTGTAGGCCTGTTCAGGCTCCCACATTCCCAGTGAGATTGTGCTCCCAATGTCCTCTGCGCCCTCAGAGTCCCTGGGCCAGGGTCCACTTTGTTCTTCCTTAGCCTGTGTCCTTAGAGTGAAGCTAAAAGTGCCCTCTCATAGTGCCCTGAGGTAGGGAGGCCACTGAGAGGGGCCAGGAGCACACAGGCCTGAGCTTCCCCCGTCACGGGGTGGGAGCCATGAGTTGGCACATGGGCAGGCAGGGAGCTGTGACGTTGAATGTGCCGGGAGCGTGGGAGCCATCTGTGTGGGACGGAGACCCCGGGCTCCTGTGACCACAAGCACAGGGCCAGCCTTACCTGTAGGGACAGGTGGTTGATGTGCTCAGGCAGGTCCCCCGGGAACTCACGTAAGTCAATGCCCCCACAGTCCACGACACCCTCCTGCGAGCAGGCACATTCCCGAGGGCAGTCCACTGTGGCCTGGCCAGGCCCTGGCTCCTCGGGGCTCAGGACCAGCACGGGCCCCTCCAGGAACTCGTTCTCGTCGGGGCTCTGGCCGTGGCTGCTGGCTCGGTCTAGCGCCGGGGCCCTGGCGGTGAGCACCCGTCCCAGCTGCAGTTGTGGTGGGAGCAGCAGCAGGAGCAGCAGTGCCCTGCTCCGAGCCATGGTGCCTGCAGGAGAGGCGGGAACAGCCACGGGCAGTCACAGGGGTGTGGACCGCGAAAGCCATCATTGAGCCCCCACTCTGGACCATGTCCCGGACACTCAGCTGATCCACAAATGGCCTGCCTCCTCCTCGTCCCTATCAGGACTGCCCTGGGGGTGGATGAGGTAAAACTGTTCTCAGGCAGGTCTGCATAAGCTTCCTCAAAATATACCAAGCCCCAAGGAATCTGTACCCTCATTTCACAGACAGAGAAGCTGAGCCTCAAGAAAGCAGTGTGTAACCAGGAGATGATAACATCAAGGAATGGACCTTCTAAAGATTAAGTCCCTGAGTGCATCAGAACTTTTTTCCAATACAGTGAAAAGAAAACCTACCAACTGGGGGAAAACACTTGGCAATGATATCTCAGTGAAGGGTCTCTAAACAAAAATTCACAAAATCCTACAAGGCCTCCACAAGAACAAGATTGATAACTCAATTACAAAATGGACAAAAGACATGGAAAGACTTTCTTAGAGGAAGACATTTGGATGGCCAACAGACACATAAAGAAATTCTCAAAATCACTGACAATAAGAGAGATGCAAATGAAAATCACAATGAGGTGCCATCTCACCCCAGAAACAGAGGCACAGTTTAACAGACAGTGAGCAATAAATGCTGGAGAGGATGTGGAGAGATTGGGACTCACACACTGTTGGTGGGCTTGTAAATTGGTAAGATGGAAGGCAGTGTGATTCCCTCCAAAAGTTGAACATGGAAATTACATATGACCCAGCTATTCTACTGTAAGCAATATACCTGAAGGAAAACAGAATGGCACACAAACGGCGATTTGTGCACCAATATTCCTAGCAGCATTATTCAAAATAGCAAGAACATGGAAACAATCCATCAAGAAACAACTGGTCTGAGAAACTTTGATACATTCATATGATGGAATACTATGCAGCACTCAGGAGCAACCAGGTGGCCTAGTGGTAAGAAACTGTGTTGCATAATTTCCTCCCCTGGTCCACTTTGCTATGTACCTCTTATTCTGGACTTTTGTCATACAAATAATATGTAATCATATATTCCTTTTAAACAGTTCTTTCCTTCATCTGTCCCAATTCAGTGTTGTTGTTGTTGTTATGTGCCGTCGAGTAGTTTGCAACTCATAGCAACCGTATGCACAACAGCCCGAAACTCTGCTCTGTCCTGTGCCAATCGCACCGCCTCTGACACTCCCATCCCGATTACCCCAGTCACCGAATCAATCCACCTCATAGAAGGCCTTCCCCTCCTGCGCTGCCCTTCCACCCTCCCCAGCATGATGTCCTTCTCCAAGGACCGGTCTCTTCTTACAACATGTCCAAAGTATGTTAGACGGAGCCTCAGAATCCTTGCCTCCAAAGAGCCACCTGGTATAACCCTTTCCAGGATGAATCTGTTTGTTTTCTTAGCAGTCCATGGTATTCTCAATACTCTTCTCCAGCACCACAGCTCAAAGGCATCAATTCTCCTTCTGTCCTCCTTGGTCATTGTCCAACTCTCTGATGCATAACAAGTGATTGAGAAGGCCTTGGCGTATATCAGACGCACCTTAGTCTCCAGGGAGACACCACCCCAATTCAGTGTAGAAAGGGAAATGTGCAACAAAGAATGAATGAAAAATCTAACTTTTCTGTAAACTTTTGTAAAAAATCACAATTTTTTAAAGTTTTTTTTTTAAAAAAAAGAGAAATTGCACTGCAATCCTGAAGACACACGGTTTGAATCCACCAGCTGCTCCACAGGAGAAGGATGGGCAATCTCATCCCATACGATTACCTACCTCTGAAAACCCACTGGACGGTCAGCTATGGGTCACTTCCAACTTGATGGCAAATAACAACAAACATATAACTGTATAGGGGAGAGGCTAAACAGCATTATGCAGAGAGAACTAAAGCTCATAAGGACAAATACTGCGTAAGATCATGATTGCAAAAACAGAAGGATATCTAGTAAGTTGTGGATAAATGCCTAAAGAGGGAAGGGAGGGCACAAGAGGGGCTAAGGATGGGAAGGGGCAAAATCATGGGGTCACAGAGTTTGGTGGGTAGAGGGATGGAGAAGGAATTAGGAAAAAGACGCTCTAATAGTGGGCATAGATCAATAGTGTTTAATTTTTTAAGACACAATGTATGAGAATGATTGTATGAATCACAATATGAATGGAGGGAACACCCAAAATTCAAAGGTAAAATTTAAAAAAGAACAGCTGTCCCTGGCAGGCCTGGCCTGGCCTGGCCTGACCAGGCAGTGCTTGGAGGGCCTTTTCTTCCTCCAGCAGCCACGGCCATGGAATGAGCCCGATACCGGGCTCCCAGCATCAGAAGGGTCTGTCCTAACTCTTCTAGAGCTTGCAGTTCTAGACCTTCAGGACATGATCCCTGCCTCTTGCCCAATTTCCCACCCACTCACCCCTAGTCAGACAGGACCGTGTAACAGCCCCTCCCACCAGGCCCATGCACATGCGGTTCCTTCTGCCGGGAATGTCCTTGTTCTCTTGTGCAATGGTGCTTCCTCCTGCTCCGAGAACCAACGCCCATGCCGTATCACAGGAAGCACTGAGACGGCTCCAGGATCGCTGTTCCTACATTCCTACAAGGCTTTGTATGACCTTCTTCCTTAGCATGCACTGGGCTGTACACATGTGAATGCTTCTGTCTTCAACACAAGCGTACACACTGCTGTTTCCTGATGGAGGTCCAAAGCCCGGCATAGAAGGGGCATCAACAAATGGAGCTCCTGATGTCTGCACTCTCAGCTGCTCTCCCTCCCCAGTGTTCCCAACACTCACATCACCACTGTCACCTGCACGACACCAAGCTCAGCAGTAAAGAGGGGAAGGGGGTTGACTTCAGGTGCACTGAGGAAGCTGCTGGGGGTGCCACATCCCAGTGGCTCCATGGCTTTGGCATGGCTTCCCAGATGGGTCCCTGGAGTTCTCTTTAGAAAGAATCATTCAGGAAACATCTTTAGGGAAAACCTCCTGTGCTGAGCTGTGACGGGTGGTGGTTCAGGTACATTGACTCTGGAGTCCCACAGACCTGAGTTCAAGACTGCACCACTTACTTACAGGTTGTGGAGCCTCACTGTAGACACTAGATTTGCATTCTCTGAGGAGTAAGCTGGTAACAGACACTAATACTCGATACTTATCAAGTGAGTAAGTGCAGCAGTATTCTGACTTGCACAGAGATTAACATGCGCCTGATCCAGGCCATGGTCTTCACAATTACTTGCTGTGCATCGAAGAACTGGACGATGACTACAGATGGCAGAAGAAGAAGTGATGCCTTTGAGTTGTGGTGCCAGAGAAGACCATACTATGGACTACCAAGAAAACAAACAGGTCTGTCCTGGAGAAGGTGAAACCAAGCTGCTGCCTCACAATGAAGCTCCGTCTCACATACTTTGGGCATGTGCCAGGAGGGGACCAGTCTTTTGAGAAAGATATCATGCTTGGAAGGATGGAGGGACAATGTAAGAGGGGAAGACCCTGGATGAGACAGAATGACTCAGTCACTGAAGTAATGGGGGGGTTGTTGGAAACAAAATTGGCTCAAGATAAGGCAGGATTCAGAGGTACTGTATATAGATAGGATCGTTATGAGTCACAGATGACTTGACAGCACATAACAACAACAAGTGCAGCGGCTACAGAGAGAAACTCAACCGGTCACAGCAAGGAACAGTGGTCAGCAATTAGCTTTCCTTGAGTTCGTGGCTCAGGCTCTCTCGTCACTATCTGAACTTGAACCCAGCCCGGTGATGCTGAGCTAATGAGACTCACGTGAACTTACAGGGCAGCGCAGAACCACCCCACAGGGGCTCCGGAGTGGAAGTCTTGGCAGAAGCAGATAGCCACACCTTCTTATTCCTACAGAGCTGTTGATGGATTGGAACCCCTGACCTTTTGGCTAGTGGCCACGTGTGTTAACCACTGCACCACCTAGGCTCCATTCACTGAAGCAGAGAGGAGCACTTGCCGAGATGCTGGGCCTATGAGAGTCTAGTGTATTGGAAGTGAGAGACAGACACTGAGGTGTGTGTGCTCAAGAAAACAGACCTGGGGCCCAGATGACTACTGCTCACCCTGTTCCTAACAGGTATGTGCTTTTGAGCAGGTTACAGAGCCCTCTTGGTTCAAATTCCTCACCTATCAATAGATGATAAGAGATCTATTTTCACGGGGAGACTGAAGAGTCAGTGAGATGAATATGTGTCCCCAAGAAGTGCTCAACAAGGAGCACCCACTCATCTACTGAATAAAATGTGAGCTCTTCCTACTGTCAATCATTCAATATGTGAGTTATCCACATTCAGACCATTAATAGCTTATTAATTCTAACTTCCCACAAATTTCCGGACCATACCATTGCTCACTTCAGAATGCCCTGTTTCCCCCCACTCCCCTGTCTAGTTCCCACTGACGCTTTTCCATCGAGTCCCAGTTTCACCTCCTCCTGGATATCTTGCAGAGCCTCCATTCTCCTAGGAGTCCCCCGTGAACACACTGTGAGGTGCTGGGCTACTGACTGGCAGGCTGGCAGCTGGACCACCCTCCTAAGAGCCTCCCTGGGCTGCTGTGGTATTTTAGATGCTGCTTTGCCTCCCTCACTGGTTCAGTCAACTCTCCCAGGCAAGACCTCATCTCTGCCTACCCTTGAGCAGGCTGTGAGAGCACAGGTGAGGTGGATAAGGTCCCTGCTGTCAGTCTGGAGGGAGCTGGCCCCACTACAAATAACCACCGTCCCCAGAGACACGGTGAGCTGTAGAAGGGGCCTAGAAGGGCAGCAGGAAAGGAGAATAAGGAGAGAGAACAGGGGTGCAGTTTGGCTTGCTAGACCCAATGGGGCCCTCGATGTTGGCCCTGCACACACAGGCCCTGGGATCCAGGCCTCTGTCAGGAGCAGCAAGAGATGCACAGTGCTTCCCGGCCCGATGCCCATCCTGACACCCTGTGGACCACAGCTGGCCA